TTAGGTCATGACTTTAAGGGTATGGTTGTTGGCAAAAGATTGTTGTTTCATATGTGAATTGATGATGAATATATACTGCATATTATTTTATTGTTTGAAGAAAAAGATGCATTGACTGCTGCATCACAAATAGAGCATGATGGATGCTGTTTTTGTGAAATGATTAACTTAATAATAGTGTTGTGTTTGAATGCTGCTGGTAACAGGAGGTCAAAGAGTCTTTTGATTTTTGGGGGACACCAGAAGGTGATGTAGTCCACCCTGCTGACTGCATGCATCATCTACTTGAGCAAGTTAGGCGTCACCAAGTAAACATTGATGGAAATGTGTGCGCTGTGATGGTGACGACTTTAGTCTTGGAGGTAGTTTCTTTTTCAATACCAAGCGTGGCACTAGTTTCCCAAGTGGATCCCAAAAAAATTTGTGGAAAAGATAATAGGAAAGTAATATGTTTAAGAAAACTGTTGAAAAGAAAAAATGGGTGGTTGAAATATGTTTAGAAGAAAGTAATGGTTGTGGACCACATTTTCTTTACTTTATTAGGACAGTAAATGAGTGAAGATTATTTTGGGATAACCCAAAAAGGAAAGTGTGAAGATTAACTTGGGACGGAGCAAGAGTGCACGTGTTTGGGGGGGGAGGGGTGGAGGGGAATAAAAGATGTTTATATATTCCTTGATGCTCACTTTATTTATCTATTTATTTATTTATTTATATCGATCATAGAAAGACTAAGGGCGTTTTCTCACTGCTTTAAAAATTTGATACTAATACTCCCTCCGTCCCAAAATATTTGCAACATTAGCTTTTTCAGCAGTCGCGGGAACTTTTGTTTATTTCTACATTTTCATTAGTTATTTGATAAAATAAAATATTCTTGACACCTCTTATTTCGAAGAACTTTTCATGTAGTTTTTTGATATGTAAATTTTATTTTTTATTTCTATATCAATGTGTAAATAAAATGAATTGAAAAAACTTGATATTTTGCCTCGGAAATACAAATGTGGCAAATATTTAGGGACGGAGGGAGTATATTTTTTCTAAAGATCTTGGTTTGCTTGAGTCTTTCTATTCCGACTTGGGTGTGAATGTCTCCTCTATATCTTTGTGGTCTAATCTAGTTCCGAAGTTGGATTTTCTTAGTCCTAAAAGTAACATCTGACATCGGTCTTAATCTTTCATTGACATTTGGTTTCCTTTCTCTAGCATTCTCCGTAATTCAAACATACCCTCACACTGTTTGGTTGAGGAAATTATGAAAGAAAGGGGAACACTAAAGAAAAGAAAGTCAAAGAAACCAAAATTCTGAATCTTGTTTTGTTCTCTCACGCCGAGTGCTATCCATGGGTTGTTTTTTGGACAGGGTTGGCAAAGGAAACTCGATCCTGATTATGACATAATGCAAACGCTGCAGGCTTTGCTGCTCAAAGCTGACTGGGCAAAGTCATTAGCGTACACAATAGAGGGAATTATGGCTCCATAATCTCCCCTTCCAATTTCATCTGGGAAAACTTTGTCTTGCAATTAACACTGCATTTTGGTTCANAAAGTCAAAGAAACCAAAATTCTGAATCTTGTTTTGTTCTCTCACGCCGAGTGCTATCCATGGGTTGTTTTTTGGACAGGGTTGGCAAAGGAAACTCGATCCTGATTATGACATAATGCAAACGCTGCAGGCTTTGCTGCTCAAAGCTGACTGGGCAAAGTCATTAGCGTACACAATAGAGGGAATTATGGCTCCATAATCTCCCCTTCCAATTTCATCTGGGAAAACTTTGTCTTGCAATTAACACTGCATTTTGGTTCATATAAAACTGTGCCAAGGTTGATTTTTGTTAGGGAAAAGTTTACTTTGTATGTAGCATTTTGGTTTTCAAAAGCTTGTCAGCCTGGCTGTTGGATAATCCCTGGGAAATCTTTTTTTTTACTGGTTAACTATAGTCAAATCTGCAGTGTCCTCAATATGTATAAATAAGTTAGTTCTTGACGGTGCAAATTCCACAGAGAATGTCTTCTTCATCTTTTCTTTTTTGTGGCAAATTTTGAACCTCCAAGTTTTTTAATTTTAATTGTAATCTTTTTCTATTTCTATATCAGAGTATTTGTCTAATACGGAGTATGATTTTTTCCAGTTAAAATTGATAAATTATACTGGGAATTTTGAAAGATACTACAAGATTAATTAATGAATTTATTCTAAGTGTAGAAGATTATGGCACTCCGTATATTTTGAAAGTTACTGAATGAATATTTTAAGACTGACGAATTTACAGATTTTTACATGATTTGAAGAAGAAATTCATAGTCTCAAGTAAAAGCTTAAATTAATGGTCAATATGCATACCTGTTGATACGTCATATTGAAGACAATTGTGTTTTTTGTATTTGACAAAAAAAATCATGCTTAAAAAATGATGCCCAACTATATGTACCCGTACCATGATCCTAAATCAATAGAATAGAAGAAACTTGTCACAACAATGTTTTTTGTGGCCTCAATAATGTACCAGAAGATTAGGACCTCATTAAAAAACAAAACAGGGAACATTTCCTTTGATAAAATTCCCTTTATTTGTCTGTGATAGATACTTGTTCTTCTATAGCAAAAGCCTCTTTAGGCCATTCCATACATCCTTCCTCCAGAGCCTCTCATCAGTTGCCCCTGTGAGTCACAAAAGATCTGTTGAGTTTTGGTGGTAGCGTCTGATGAAGAAGATGGTGTTTGCGCGATTAAGGCAGTGTTTGGCTGGTTCTCTCTCTATTCACGTTTCACGAACTTGTTTGAAATTGGAGGCCGTGGGTGGCAGAATACTGGAGAGTAGCACTGGTGGGTTATGGTGGCGGTAAGGACAAAGGTGTTTGCAGCCAAGAACATCAAACTTGATATCCATAGCTGAATGAAGACATTTTTGCCTTTGAATTCAAGCAAATAACCCCACAGCAACCAATGCGTCTGCGCTCCAATCCACACAAGAATACAAACCAATCCCTTCCCTTTCAGCTTCATCTTACTCCAAGGCAGTATCAGTGGCAGTAGACAAAAATACCAAACAAAGTATTGAGCTGTTATGACCTGTTTGTATACAATTGAGGAGTAATTTTGTCACACTTCTTATGACTAGAGCGAATTCTGTTACAGTAGTCATTTGGCCATATACCGTTACTCGATTATTCGGTCCTCAACTTTTTGTTGGACTCGATTATATCATTGACTGTAATTCAGACCCATTATGAGCCATTCTGGCTCATAAATGTGTAATTGTGGAGTTTGGACCCAATTCAATGTACAAAAATACCATCTTAATTAGAGCAAGATACACACAATGACTAAATTAAGTCTAAATTGCAAAGTTGAGGACCGGATTGAGTAATAGAGTACAGGTGAAGGACTCCAACAGATTTGGGATTATATTATATACGCAGTATATTTTTTTGTATAAGCAAGGGACCAAACCAAGTATTAACTCTTAACTAAGCTAGAATAGATTGATTGGTATTGTTGACAAACCTTGTTAAAAGCAACAAATGCAACCGTCTGCACGAAAAAGCAGAAGGGGAAGTCATGGGCAAAAGAGAAGATCAGTGCAATCTGGACCATAACCTGAGGAAGAAAAGAGACTAGCTTTTCCGAGACTGAGAAATCGCGTTCATAGTTGAGATATATGTGGTAGAAGTATATGGAAAAATTGTGCCTTGGGTCAGTGCGAGTGAGATGATATAGCAGAGCTTCGTGCAAGAATTCCCATCCATACAGATGGAAGAAAAACCCAGTTGACATAAAGAACACAGCACCAGAAACAAGTCCAAACATCACCCTCCTCCAAGACAACATGTTTATCAAGAAAGCGCGAAAAGAACGTTTTCCGCGATATGAACCATCTGCTGCCTGGGGATTCTTTATAGAACTCCAATCTGTAAGTGCAGGCGTGGTACTACAAGGCTGAAAGTTTAAAGGATCAAGAACCAAAATTATGGGTAGTGCATAAATAATAGGATATATTCTCAAGTGGACAACAAACCCAAACCAAATTGCCGCTTGCAGAAGAGAACCTGTGATCAAGAAAACAAGTAAACACGAGGGGCATCATAGAGATAAAAGTTTTTTTTTCTTTTTAACATGTGGATAACAGTCAAGTGCAGAAACTACAATTAATATACTGAATCCATAAAGACTTGAGGTCATATGGGGCAAAAATTTTAGTACATTAATGCTATGTTCAATCTAGTTTTAATTCACAAAATGAATTGGGAACTCCATATAACTAATTTATAGAAATAGACTTTAAAGCTATCAAAGACTTGCCTTTCATGAGACAGATAATGATCCAAAGGACAATGGCACAAACAGTGGGTTCACAGTTTCCGCGAGTTCCAATTGTAAATGTGAATGGATTGAATAGCCATACCATTACCGAGCAGGTAATTAATCTCTCCGGCACCCTTCTTAGCTTCAAGATTTTGTGTATCAGAAACCCCACGAGCAGATCTGCCGCAGAAAAACAATCAACACTAAAAAACACTAACTTTCGACTTTGAGCAGAAAGGTTAAGACTTTTGTTTGTCAATGGATACCTGATGCAGAAAAGAGGAACTTGCCCCAAGAAGGATGAATGAAGGAATTGGGGATGAGGAGAAAGGCGATGAAGGGTGAGTAGCGGTAGGTGGATCTCCGGTAAGGGGATTCACCTTTGGCCATGAGGGCTGCGGCGTCGGAGAATACGAGGTAGTCGACGTCGGTGTACCGGACCTCCATGTGGGCATCTTGCCACTCGCCGTAGAGGACCAGGAACAATCGAAGAAATGCAGAGAACAGAAGCACAGAACGGAGGTTTAATCCCGCCATGGTTTTTGTTAATTAATGTCCGAGATGCAATCTGGACCGTAAAAAAACATTGCCATGGAAAGGATGGGTCGGAGTTAGTTGCCGGGGAAGAGTGCAAGGGGAGAGGGGTGGGTCGGGAATTTCATTTTTAAAATAAACATTAAGGGCAAATTATATGGTATAACCGGCTGTACTCTTTTTGCGCTACAGCTACTTCAAATTGAAGCGACGATCGAAGGGGAGGCCAAACCTTAGGTACGATGAAGTGAAGCGCGGGGAGAGCGACCAACGACACAACAGTGGAGGGATACTGAGCAGTGTCAATCAAAGGCACAATCTCTTGCGCGAGTGCAGAACCCTAGATGAAGCAAGAAAGGGTCTCTTTTCGGTTCCTTGATTCGGCGACCAAAAGACGTTTGCCGGATAGCTTCAAATTTAAAAAATTAGAAAAGAAATTTTAAAATACAAAGAGATGAAAAAAGAATTAAAAAAAGAAAAAACTGATGGGAGTATTGATGTACATTTTTCAAACCACATGGGGTGCCGGAGCAACTTGGCCAATAAAATCTTCAACTAGTATTCAACTAGTAGAACACTATAAATTAAAAAATTAAATAATTACATTTAAAGAAATTGAGATAGATTTAAATAAATAAAACAAGAATCAGTTTTCAAAGCGGATACCTGGAATGACAGAAAATAACTCCCTAAACTATTTTTGCTCCTCTGTTGGCCTGCGTCGATGCACTGGTAGCGATAGGACTCAGCTTTGTTGGCGTTGAAGGAACAATCGGTGAGGATAAAGGCGCAGCCGCGCATACGAAGACAATGGTTTGATTATATGAACCTGCGGTGACGATGTTGACTCCTAGTTGTCACTGAGGGCTTGTGCGATTGGTGCGAAGAAGAAGAGGAAGAAGCAGAGCTTGTCGATTGACAATACGGTTAGAGTGGTTTTTAGGTCTGAACCTAAACATGAACCACCATGGTTATATGTTACAATTGGCCGTACCTATTTTTTTGGCTACAATAGGCTGAAACACACGGCAAGCGCATAAGGAGACTGATTGGCTGATCGACTGCGTGTTTGTATGACACTCTAGCTACGGAAGCCAAATCTAGAGCGCCACAGTCACGACCGTCCAGCCACCACTGTGCGCTGGTCAGTTAGGGTTCTGTTTCCCGTTCGCAAAAAGCCTATCTTCTCCTATCATTGCACAAAGCCAGGTTCACGAGCACGAAGAGCCAACAGCCACGCCACCTGCCGCCCAGATTGCAGGCCTTTGGGCCGCGTTGTCGTCGCTGCCGCGCTTGAAGGTGGGTGGAGGTGGTGGTGGTGTTATCGTGAGTATTTTAAATGAGTATTATGTTACTCGTAAGTGAAGATTTTATACACTCCACCTTTTCTAAAATTAACTTCTCCTTTTAGTTTACGATATTTGACCAATTTTATTTTTAATTCAATTTATTTGATTATAGATATAAAAGTTAAAAAATAAAGTTTATATATTTAAAAATACATTAAAAGTTTTAAAAAACTAGAGGTGACATGACTATATTATTTTATCAAATGATTAATGAAAATGAGTAAAAAAATGAATAGAATTTAACCGTGTGAATGTTAATTGCAAAGATAATTTTAGGATGGAAGGAGTAATAATTGAAATGAATATTATGTTTGTTTTGTGAAAATAAGTATTGTATTTTGCACAAATGAATATTTGATGGTTATAGAATGAACACAAAAATATTCAAAATGAACTTTTCATTGGTTAAAAATGAATACATTTTGTTAGGTTGCATGTGTCCTTTTTTGACTTGAACGACACATGAAAACAGAGTAGTTTTGTTAGGTTTCACATTCTTAAACGACACATTCTTTCATGTGAAGTCAAAAAAGGACACATGAAACCTAACAAAACTTCACATTCTTAAACGACACCCATCAAGGCGCACACACTATTGCGATAGCAGTTTGTCGGATTTTATTATTGTGACATGCAACTGAGTAGAATCAACTCATTATGGTTGAGTTAAAAGTGTTTTTTAAAGGCAAGTAAAAAGTGTTTTACTCCTTAGTCTTATAAAAATATTCAGAATTTAATTTTTATCAAATTTAAGATGAAAATTACTGTAAACTTTTAAAAAAGTGCGTGGTTAAAATTTGGCAAGAGAACAATTTTCCGAACCACTTTTTTTTTTGTTCTTAAGAGAAATCATCCGAAGAATTAATAAATTTATTTTAAATATTCTTTTGAAATATTATATTTTTATACTCTGCAATATATGACTATTCAAGAATATAAATATTAAGGTCAAAATTTGGATTGGAGACTGCAAAAAGGCAGAAAAAGAAGAAAAAAATTATGGGATGAAGAAAGTAAAATTTACTCCCTATTAATTTGGACCCCCACCATCTGCAAAATATTCACATAAATAAACGAAAAACACATATTTCTTGAAGCCAAAAAAAAAACAGCTGAGTAGATAAATATGGTAGCATAATTATTATTACCCGAGTACATTCTAAACATCTAAGTATCTAAGGGGAACCCAATCTTTTTACTTGAAGCAAGAAAATAGTTCACTTTTTCCTCAGAAACTGCCATGGCCAATTAGCCAGAGCCAGTCAAGAGCCACTCCAGAAAATATGCCACAAAGAAGGGACATAACAAGAATGTTACCCAATGCATTTGCCTCCGGTCCCTATTAAAAAAAGACACAAAGATTCAATTTTTATTTACAAAGAACTGTATTATTACCATCATCATGAATAATCTAACCAAGAATTCAAGAAGAATCCCAACCTTGTAACCTTTAGGAGCATTAGTGAGGACACAAACTGTCAAATGGCCATTCGTTAGTCCTAGGAAAGATACGAGGAAGATCATCCAGCCTTGATCCCCATACTTGGCAGTGAAATAGAAGCACGGGATCAACAAGATACGCGACAATATCGATATCATTAGCCACTTTCTGGATTTCACCTCAATTGCCTTGATCATGGGAGTGTACCTCGACACCAAATCCCAAATGTTATACATAGCAATCAGAACAACCGAATACCTGAAAAAGAACGTACATGTTAATGTCAAAGGTTTGAAACTTTTCCTTGAGCTTTTGGTTGAGTTGGTTCCTTGAAAGTTAAGAATATAAGTTGTGCAAAACATTAGGAATTGTCTTTTTAGCCTTAGGTGTTCGATGGGGATATTATGTTGTCAACAAGGGTAATGTAAATTTCCCCTTTTTACCATGATCCAAGATTGTGTTCTCCGGTATTCTCATATAGAAATCCAGGGAAGATGGATAAAGTCAGAACGTATATGAGGTAGAGGTCCAATGCATAATCAATGTTTTGAGTGAACAACTGCCAGTTGGTCAGCCTCGCCACCTGCTTGGCATCATCAGCCTGTTGCAGACCATACAAGTTAATATCAAATGTTTGAGCAAATTATTATGAACTTGTGTGTTGACATAGAGGGGGGGGGGCATTTGGGTCATTTACTGAATTTGTCTGGAGGCCAGCTGCAGCTAAATCTGCAGCAACAGTTTTTGATCCCTCAGAAGCTGCCTTTGCGCGATAGTACTTCACAATTGGAATTTTGGGGAAGATGTATCCATAGAGAATGATGCATATGAATTCAAAGAACGTGGAGATTGCCAAAAACAGAACTGCAGATGCCATTAAATGTTTTGGGGTTTAAGCGTGTACGAAACGAAGATAAAGGACACAACCAAACAACAAAATATCAAGAAAATTTACATATTCAATGTCTTATGAACAATATACAAAGAAACAACTTTAGTCACCAATGTTTCAGACGTGCATCGTTCAAAAAGGGAACTTACTAACTCCTTTCCGGAGACCGTTACTGGAATGTTCAAATGCCGCTTTAGTCACCAACCTCAAGCCAGAAGTGAGTGCCCCAGAAGCAGCTAAACCAGCCAAGTATGACTGTTGCAAGGTGACAACATGTTCAGCTACATAAAATCCCAAAGAATGTTTGGCAAATTATAATCCTTAAATTTAAAAAAAGAAAACTACCTGGATGAATTCAGGACACATGAAAGCAAGGTCTCCAACAACACCACCCTGAACAAGGGCATCTGCAACCCCAAAACATGCAACCAGAACACAAATTCCCGAGAAAGGTCCGATTCCACCCTTCCCCGATGTGGCTACATCCAACTACACCACCAAAATCAAATCTTTTATCAATTTGGATGAACTACACATTCACATGGTCTGAAAAAAAGAATATTTACAGCAGTAAACTAAAGAGAAACAATAGTGAGTGTGTACTGTACCATCAGTAGTGCAAAAGTGGCCAGGCTGAATAGGGAAAACCCTACTAAATTTCTGATCCTTGTATTAACCTTTTGATCTTTATATGCAAGAATTGCAATTGCTCCAATTGCAAAGGGTTGATAAACCAGGGTAAGCACCCTAGAAGGATGGTAGTCCTATGCATGAGAAACAAAGAATTAATAAACCGTACCCCTGAGTACTTAATAATTAGATTTATCATTGAAAATGAGAATTAAGTAAACAAATAAACTTTGGGTACTCAAGAAGAAATTCAAATAAACAGATTCTCACAGGAAATAATTGGTAATAGTAATCTCCAATTGTAAGCATGCTATTCCAAGCCACAAGAGAACCCAGTCCCAGAAACCAACACACTATAGTTGCAATCAGTTTCCCCTGAAATTCCAAAAAAAACACATTTTTTTTCAGAATCACACAAATTCAACAACTACCAGATTAAAAAACAAAAACAAAAACAAAAACCAACCAACAATTATAACAAAACAAGAACCTGAAGCCTGGCCGGAGTCTCCCCGGTAGATTCTTCAACAGTGGTAATCATGTCTGTTTGTGGTAAGAACAGATTGGTACTGATATTAATAAATAGTATGATAAAGAATGGGGATGAAATATAATAATGAGTCAAAGAAGTGAAAAAGGGAAGAGATGCGCCTACCTCCGGCGGCTGTGCGTTGACAGCCAAGTGTGAATAAAGAGAAAAAGATTCTTGGGGGTGGGTTAGAGAAAGAAGATTCCCACCAGGAATCTCTGTATATTAGATTGGATTTAGATTGGGATTATGAGTTCTTATATTTTGTGCCCGTCCCCAATGAATAAATAAATACAGTAGTAAAACAAGATTGGGAGTGTGAACTGTGAAGAAGTCTGGAAGAAGAAGGAAGCCTATTTACAGAAATTTTCGCATAATTTTATGCAACAAACCTCCTCATGGACAGCTGTTTCTATTTTATTGCGGTCATTAAACTTAAATGCAATTTACTCCCTCTCTCAAATTAGACTATAATTTTTTTTTTGAAATTTATCTCTCGATTATTTTTATTTTCTTTGTATATTTTTATTGAATATTTGATAAAATAAAATATTTTATCATTTCTTACTTTAAATATAAGAAATTGTAATTCAATTTGGGACGCATGAAATATACGGAGTATCTTTTTTCTATAATTTCCCCTTTATTTTACATAATCAGTTTTTTTTCTGGTTATGTTACAATGTACTACTCCGGGTACTATCTTTGCCCCGAAATTGATTCCAAGTGTTTTCTTACTTCTGGATAACTTTTTGATTATTTGTGTGTTTTCATTAATTATTTAATAAAATAGTACTCGTATATTTTTGTTACAACTTGTTTTATAGATTTTTTGAAGTAGTTTTTTACTTTTTATTTATATATCAATTTTCAAATAAAATAATTTCAAAAGATGAGGAATTTTTTTTTTGAAAAATTCCTTCTTGTGATAAAAAAAATGGGATTAAAAAATATCCCATTTTTTTAGTTATACCTACTAACTTTTATCAGTAAAATATATTTATAAAATGATTCGCAGTTTGTGATATAAAAATGTTTTTGTTAAATGATATTAGTACTCTATAAGTTTTAGGGTTTTTACCAAATTCTGAGATACAGAAATAAGAAGTACTACATATATTAATCCGTTTATCATTTTAAGTAGAAAAGTCAAAGATAAAAATTTTGATAGAGGATTAGACATTTCATTAATTTCCATATAAGCCTTTCAATTTTTTCCCATATGACGTTATGAAATGCATTTGTGCCACTTTACATATTGACGTTATGAAATGCATATGTTCATTTAGCAAAAAGTTTATTTAAAATAAACAGTGTCTCCGTCCTAAAACTTTCTTCCCAGTTACCATTTACATGGTCAAACTTTTATCACTTTCTTTACCTATTTTCGTTAGTTATTTGATACTCCGTAAAATAATATAGTCTTGTCATCTCTTGTTTTGTAGAACTTTTGATATAGTTTTTAAATATATAAATTTTATTTTTAAATTTTATCTTTATAATTAAATAAATTGAATTAAAAATAATTTCAGTCAAATATCATAAATTGAACTGGAAAAATATTTTAGGATGGAGGGAGTAAAACTTAAAAGTCAAAATCTTGTCGGGGGCGTTGAGCAAAGAAAGTCAAGAAAATAACTAAATAAGATCCAAATTTGATTTTCAATAACTATGTTCTGAGATAAATATAGTACCGAATACTTAAATATATAAGTACTAGTTGCATGTTTCACCCTTAACTATTGTATAGGTCAACCCTTTTTAAAAGTCAAAATCTTCAAGTTGGCGGGGAATTGAATTTGGAGTTTATTTTATTTGCCCCGACGACTAGTATAGAAAAACTTTAAACTCTGCAATATTGGACTATTGGAGTAGGCAAAATGGCATTTAATTTTGTCTCAAATTAATCATCTCACTTTTTTATTTATCTTAAATAATTATCTTACTTTTTTATTTTTCATAATAGAATAAAAAGTATTTGGTACACATTTTTTTCTTCTACTTATCAAATTTTAATCACTCCTTTTTTTATTTTTCACCCTTTTTTAAAATTCAATAAAATCAAATTGTGACAATTATTCAAAACGGAAGAAGTACTAGTTAGAAGTCACTATCATTTAGGTCTTGTTTGGCATCAACGTTAGAAGCACTAACCCTAAAACGAAAATCATCATCCTTTTCTCATTTGTTCATCTTCTTGGTGGAAATCAAAATTGAAACGAGTAACTTTCATGGATAGTTTCAAGGGTTAGTCTCAGGAAATTTCAAAGAAAACAAACCTTAAAACTCATTCATGAAGGTTACTAGCTTCGATTTTGGGTTCCACTAGAAAGACAAAAAATTGAGAAAGAGTGATGGTTTTGATTTTGGGTAAGAGTTTCAGACTCGGCGAAGGGTTTGGGAAGGAGTACGAAAGGATGGAAGAAGCTTAATTGATCAGAGAGAAGACTGTGAATTTACAATATTATCCATGTTCTTAACGAGAATGTAAATAGAAGACCATTTATGGAAAATAATAAAAAATATTGGAGACTAAATTTTGATATTTGATATGTGGAAACTAAATATGGAAAATGACATATAACTAGGTACCTTTTATGAAATTTATTCTAATTAATATTTAGTGCTAGACACTTGTTTAATAAGTATATTTAACTAGCGCTATATATATATATATATATATATATACACACACACACACACACACACATATATATATACATATATATAGATATATACATACATATAATATATATATATATATATATATATATAGCCGGTTCCCGTGAGAATGCACCTTGTGGAGAGAAATGAGAATAAAATCTAGACGTCAGATCTGATGCATCGTGCGGCTCAGATTACATCCTGCGCTCAGATTTTGAGATAGTGCATTTTCGAAGGTTTATGATGCATTTCAACGTGATGCATTTTCGCACCATTTTGGTGCATCTAATTTTGATGGAATCTTGACCCTTAGATCTCACAATCTAAAGCACCAGATTCATTCTCATTTCTTTCCTAAGATTGCATTCTCACCAGAACCAAAATCTATATATATATATATATATATATATATATATATATATATATATATATATATAGGGGCCGGTTCTTGTGAGAATGCACTTTGTGGAGAGAAATGAGAATGAAATCTAGCCTTTGGATATGATGCATCGTGCGACTCAGATTGCATCCTGCGCTCAGATTTTGAGATAGTGCATTTTTAAAGGATTATGATGCATTTCAACGTGATGCATTTTTAAACCATTTTGTTGCATCTGATTTTGATGCAATCCTAACCCTTAGATCTCACAATCTAAAGCACCAGATTCATTCTCATTTCTCTCCTAAGATCGCATTCTTACCAGAACCAATATATATATATATATATATATATATATATATATATATATATATATATATATATCTGTGTGTGTGTGTGTGTATTCTTTACTATAGCATTTGAGACTCATGTTTCCAAGAAGTTGACATGTGTCATCTTAGATGGCACATGAATAAATTACATGGCATGCTTTAAATAATCATTCATCATTTATGAAAATTTATTTATGATAACCTTTAAAATATGATGAGTTTAAAATAATATATTTTATATTGAAAAAATATGGACTTTTGAATTTACTGAAAATTATGTAAATGAAATAAATGTAATTTTTTAACAAAAATTAAATAAATTAATCATAAAAAAGAAACTAATCATGATTAGCGCGGGTCTTTTTTTCATAAAAACAAAAATAATATTAAAACTCTTTTGAGTTAAATATAGTTTTTTAAAAATTATTAATTTATTCTTTTGTATGAAAATTTATTGAGCTAAAATAATATATTCTTGAGTAACTCATCTTATACCACTAATTAAAAATGAGAAATTTATTAAAGAAAGTTAGTGCATTATGGATCTATGTATATTAGATAATTTTTAATATAAAAACTTTGTGGTTTAATTAATGAATTCTATAACTTTTTTAATAATGAAAATTTCTTTAAATATATAATAGGGAGTATAAAAAAGCTGTCAAGATTTAAACTTTGTTTGAGATATTATATACATGAACATCACGGTATTGATGGTCTTTAAAAGTATTTATTTATGATATAAACAGTGTTTATAAATGATAAAACTTTTGTTTTTAAATGAAAGTATTTTCATAAAGGAAATATAAATTTTAAAAAGAATTATTTTCTTCCTCTCTATTAGTAGGACTTTTTGAGCCTTTATTTTTCTTATTGGAACATAATTTTCATATAGAAAATGTTTAATAGTAAAAATAGATAATTGAAAAAAATATAATCTCGATATTCATATATTTATATATTCAAGGATCGAATGACAACATATATTTTTGAATAGAATATATTAAAATAGTTCTAGCGCTCTACATGGTTTGAAAAAAAGGTATTAATACTTCATTTGTTTTCAGAACTTATTTAAAAAATGTCTATCATTTCAAAAGGTTGCACACGCACTACATCGATTCGTACTATTTTCCGTTCATTTTTCATTAAAAAGGAGGCATTGATACACATTTCAATCAACATGAGCTGATGAGCATCAATGCATATTATAATTTTTTTTGCTTTTTTCATATATAATTGTTCTTTATGATATTTTAAAATTCAAATTGGGTTGTATTTGAAATAAAATACCGAAATTAAAAAAACATATACTTTCTTCATCTAAAGTTAAACATTTTTGTTTTTATAAATTTAGATGAAAAATATTATTGTTTATTCGCTGTATATGCATTTGCAGGTAAGAAAATATTAATTTTGTATAATAATAATACACAATGGTTCTACATCCACTCACTTTTAATTCGTTCAAGATCACACTAGCTTCAATAGAAGTATCTACGTGCAGCGTTCACAAAATTAATGGTTCCTACCCTCGACACCCTGGGAAATCCCCACCCCAGAGCAAGTGCTCTAGAACCGTTCTGATAATAGTAGTTTCAATAATAATAATAATAATAATAATAATAATAATAATAATAATAATACAAAAAATGCATGCAAATAATTTTTTAAACACTATTGAAAAGAATCAAAAGAAGTTAGATGAAACTAAAAGAGTGGAATTTTTTTAAATGTTGGAAGACGTTGGAAGAATTAAATTGAAAGAAATTAGAAAGAGTTGAAAGAAACTAAAAGAAGTTAAAAGATAACAATAAATTGGAATTGGAAGTTCAAGGTGCATTTAGTTGTGGGAAAATATGTGTCTAGATAATTATTCTAGGAGAAACTAATTTTCACAAAAAAAAATCATTCTCCCATATATTTTATTGAAACCAAGTTGATATTTGAATAAAAACAAAGATATTTTGAGATAATTTTAAAATATTTTAAGGGAGCATACTTTATTTTTTATACAC